AACCCAAAGTCAGAAGGATTTACCCCTGTGTTTTCTAAGAGTTTAGGTTCTTACATTTAGATATGTGATCCAGTGTGAGTTAATTTTTGAGAGGGTTCCAACTTCATTTTTTTTTTTTTGATATCTAGTTGTCCTAGTGCATTTGTTGAAAAGACTGGTTTTTTCCCATTAAATTGTTTTTGTGCCATTGTCAAAAATCCATTGATCATCAGTAGAGGGGTTATTTCTGGACTCTCAATTCTGTCCCACTTATCTACATGCCCGTCCTCATGCTAGTGGCACATTGCCTTATTACTGCAGCTTTGTAGTAAGTCTGGAAATTGAGAAGTATGTCTTCCAACTTTTCTCTTTTTCAAAATTGTTTTGGCTAGTCTATATTTCTTGAATTGCCATATGAACTTTAGAATGAGTTTGTCAGTTTTTGCAAACAGAACGAAACAACACAGCTGGAGAGGTCAGAAATGGTCAGATTCTGGTGAGATTTAGAAAATAACTTTGGCAGGATTTGGGGCCAAGGATGACCCTCAAGGTTCTGGCTTAGGAGCTGATGACTGAAGAGGGGAAGAGGAAAACCCCAAGTCCCGTGAGAAGCAGATATTGTGGGCAGAGAGGAAGCAAAAAGGAGAGGGCGTCTGACATGGGGTGGCTGGGTGGCCGGGAGGCGCCGGTACAGGTGACCGACACGTTGGGGGTGAGTGTTTGCCACAGAAGGAGGGACAGACACGCACTGTGGTGATGCGTATGGGCCCTCACATGCCCTGTGAACATGAAGCCGCCTGTTGTTTCAGTAGAGATGTGGGTGGAGGCCAACTGTGCTGGGGAGTGAGGAAGAGTCAGCAAGGTGTGTAGTTATGAAGCAGGAGGAGATGGAGAGGGGGCCGGGCCGGGACGTGTGGTCAAGAGAGACTGTTTTTAAACATGGATGCCTCAAGCCTGTTGAAGAGTTGGAAAGAGTGTTTCAGTATTCCAGAAGAATGGAGGGAAGAGTTGATCTTCCTGGGAACTTTAATTGACAGTGGGAAGGAGGTGGAATAAAGTCCAGAGGGACAAGCTGGCTCAGCAGAGAGGCAAGACCCCACCTCCTTTGCTGGAGCTGGAGGAGGGCTGAGGGGTGCATGGGAGAATGGAGGTGTGGGCTCCTCTCAAGCGACTACCCTTCGCCTCCTTGCATACTGAGGGGCCGGCAGTAACAGCTCCTGTAACAGCCCCAAAGGCAGCCCGAGTCACCGGAGATGCAAAACCGAGTGAAGACCAAAACATTTGGCTTTCCACACTTACCACCTGGCCTCTCACTCATGCTTCCTGTTGTTTTGTTCTTGTTTTCAGAGTGCGGAGGTTTTGCGCAGTGGAAGGGGGTCGGGTTGCCAGGGCTGGAGTGGATCAGAGCTAACCGCCACAGGGATTCCCACCCAGAGGCCCGGGGGATGCACCATGGGGGCAGTGGGTTCAGGCCAGATTCCAGGCCACCCAGCCAGCATGAAAGCAACCATGGTCACCCGTGTGGGGTCCCCCGTGGGGTTGTGCGTGCCAGGAGGAAGTGTGTGCTGGCAGTGGGTCAGCGGGCAGCTGGGGTGTTAGCTCTGGGACAAGGGGGCTCTCCTTGCCGTGACGACAGGAGGAAACCTTGGGGTAGGCCAGCAGCACTGCCTGGGAAGAACCCAACAGAGTACTGGCTTTCAGTGGAAATGTCCGTTTGGGGCCTGGGTCAGGCTGGTCTCCAGTTTGCAGTGATGCTGAGTTGGAAAAAGAGGGCTTCGTTAGGAGAGGCACAGACAGGAGCTGCAGCTCAGCTCTGCACATCTCCCTGGCGTGTGTTGGAGTCTCTGGCCAATGAGGGGCGGTTCCCTCTCCTCTGGACCCATGTGCGTCGGTCTCAGCTGAGCAGGCCCTGTTTGTTTACTGGGTTTTTCTGCCCACCGGAGCTCCACACAAGTGAGTCTGGGGCCACTGTGGGGACAGATATGGGGTGACCTTGAGCAGGCAGGACTCCAGGTGCAAAGATGTGGGGTCCCCAGAGAGGGGTCCCAGCCAGTGCTACCCTCTGGGTGCCGTGCTCAGGATGTTGCAGTCTCTGAAGTTCCGTTTCCCATTTGCATCGATGAGCAGGGATTCAGATTAACTCACGAGAAACTTAATAACCCAAGAAAACAGGCTCGTCTGGATGAAAACCTCCACTTCACTTCAGATTCCCGACAAGAAAGTCCACAGTGATGGCAGCAGTGCTGACGTCCTCTGGGTTCACTTCCAGGCTCGTCCATGTGTGTCTCTCCATCTCCAAATAATTCTTTCCCTCTCCTTTATGGGTGAAGAACTTAAGTCTCAGAGAGGGTAGGGACCTGCTGGTCAGGCCTGAGTTGGCGGCAGTGCCCTGTGTGAGCTCTGGGGACCCTTGTTCCTGTTCCCACCACAGAGTGTCCATGGAGTAGCGTGACTCCTAGAAGGAAGGGGCATCTCTATGGAACCCTCCACATTTCTGTGGCGAGTTTTCCTCAGCACGTGGCCCTGGATGTTGTTTTGGTGCATGGGGGCTTCATGTGCTGCCAGGGATGCCGATTGTGTAAGAGCCTCTGCAGACAGGAGAGCTTTGGGGTGGAGCCTACTGAGCCCATGGGGCAGGGCTTGGCCACACACAGGCCCCAGTGGGGGACAAGAGGGCCACAGGAGAAGAACTGGCATACCTTACTGGGCTTCTAGTAGTGATTGTCGTTTGCTGCCAAGACATTTCCTGGAAAAGGGAGGCTAAATCATGTCAAGGTTGAGCCGGGTCCTCGAGTCCTCATAAAGGAGGTTCTAAGCTTGGGGGTATGTACTTTGATTACTTGTGTGCTCTGTATCCCAGGAGTTTCACCAGGTGCCGTTCTGCTCTTTTGCCCAGAGAAGCTCGGCGGCTTTGCTGCCTCAGGGAGGCAGGAGTGGCTCTTTGGAGCAGCAGCTGATCCCCGGGATCCTAGTGCTTTGCCTAAGTAGATGTGGGGCCTCAGGGGTCAGGACTTCAGAGCCCAGGGCTGACTGACCTAGGGACAGGAGTGTAAGCGTGTGGGCAATGAAGAATTCCAGGGCATTATTTCCAGACTCCCATGGGTGTGTGTGGGTGGTGAAGCCCCAGTGAGCTGGTTATCTCCAATCAAACAAAACTGGAGGTCCCTTTGCGGAGACTCTTGCAGTTCATGTCCATGCGGCTTCTCTGAGAAGCAGGAGAGACTCAGAGCGGAACTCAGGGGAGTCATACTGGAGAGAGGCAGCGTCTCCTCTGGAACACACAGACCTTGTGTCCTTCCCTCCAGCTGTCAGCCAGACGGCCCCGGTTGTCTTGCATATTTACATACGTAACGGTAACAAGAAATTCTGCTTGAGCCTTGCCAATCAGCCCAGTGAGCAGGTTTCTGCAGCATCTTGTCTCCTGGGACAGATACTTGGAAAGTGAGCCCTGTGCACTTCGGGGCCTTGTCTCTCAGCTTCTGTTGTCACCATAAAAAAAGAGACACGGAGAACCCCATGCCCCATCTTCAAAGTGTGAAGCACTCTCCCCGCTGGCATGATTCTTGTTGGTTCACTGACGGAATCTTCCAACGTGTTTTTCCTCCCGATACCCCACATCCCTGTCACAGAGTTGAGAACTGGATTACGTGGTGGGCAGGCTGGGTCCCAGTTAGAGGCACCTCACACTGGCTCAGTGCAGATGACCAGTGGCAGATGGAACCCAGGGGGCCTAGAGGTCTTGGGCTATGGGGAAACTCCCGCAGCTCCCTCCTCACTAGTCCAGGCACCGGAGCGTGCGGTGGGAGCCCTGTCATCTCAGCGACTGACTTACAGCTCAGTGAGGGGAGGCACAGAGTAGGTGCACAGAGAAGGTGCCGAATCTGAGTGGTTTTCCTTGACGGCCAAATCGGCTTTCCTCTGTGTTTCTGCTCCGGAAGGTAATCCGAAGCCCTTTACTGGGATGGAAGCATTTCCAGATAAGAAGAGGATGCTGAGGCCACAGCCACAGGGCTGCCTGGGGCCAGGAGTGGCCAGAATCCTAGAGAAAAATTGTTTGGGGATGCACCTCAAAAACACGAGGAAAAGAAAGAAAATGGGTGGGAATAGTGTGCCTTTGGCAGAATCCAAACTCACTTCCAAGGCAAAGCCAGAGCAGAATGCAAGAATATTCATTTCCTGTTTTTATTGTTGGTTACTTAATGACCTTCCTTTGAAATGCTGCAGTTATGTAGAAAGCAGGTTGTCATGGAAACGGGGAGTGACGTGCAGGGAATAGGTACACAATGCATTTCTTTGTCATGTCCAGCTGATGCATTCAGCCTCTGCTTAGACGTGGGAATTTATTGAGGAATTAAATATTAACTGGAGGCATTGCCCTGGAGAGAGGCAGAAACACAGGGTGAGAAAAGATGCTGGAAACCAGGGCAAAGAGCATGCTGAGGCCCCTGGGATCCTGCGGGAGGCAAAGCTGATTGGAGACCATGGGTGGATCTCACTTTCTTCAATCAATGGGCTCCAGAGAAGTCGTGCAAAACAATCTTCTTTTTCAAATGCACATGTACTGTGCATTCTTTTGAGGGGAAGAAGGATCTGGTTGTAAGGCGAATAATTACTCATTAGTCAGCTCATTTTCAAGGTTGGTGAAATGCCAACTTTTCTCAAGGTGGGTTTCAGCTGCCTTGTCCCAGCAATCTTTGGCGGGCGAGGTTGTCAGTGGGAACCAACACCCACCCAAGGCATGTTCCATGAAACGGCACCGGAGCTGGGACGACGGTGCAGACGACTGTAGGTGCTGGAAGACTCCGAGGAGGCTCCCGAGTCAGAGAGAAGTTGTCTCTTGTCCCTGAAACGGCCACAGAGCCATGACCTTGTCTGTTTTTCTGGTGGATTCCAGGAAATGGGGGTTGAATATATGATGTTTAAAAAAGTGCCCCAAGTTTCTCACTTTCTCCCCTTGAGCCAGCATGGCTGGCACCCACCAAGCTTTCCTTTTCTGACCTTGTGCCTTTTCAAACCCTCAGAAAATGAGTTCCGGGGTGAGCTGCTGAATCAGAGGTGGACACACGGAGGCAAGGCCAGCAGCTGCAGGACCTCAAGACACCTTCTTGGCAGACACTGCAAGGTGAGGCGTGAGAGGGCAGCCGCTGTCCTGGGGCCCCACCCCGTGGCTGCCTGCAGAAAGCCTCTCGTTGGCTGCAGGCGTGAAGTGTGGAGACGACTTTGGGTCTGATTCTCACCAGAGTCCAGGTTAGGCGAAGGGAAAATGGGGACTAGGATCAGCAATGCTCTGGTCACTTTAGAATTAAGGGAAGAAAAACGACGACTCTGAGTAGATCAAAACTAAAATGTGACCCCAGGCCGGGCGCGGTGGCTCACACCTGTAATCCCAGCACTTTGGGAGGCTGAGGCAGGTGAATCACTTGAGGTCAAGAGTTCCAGACCAGCCTGGCCAACATGGTGAAACCCCGTCTTTACTAAAAATACAAAAATTAGCCGGGCTGTAGTTCCAGCTACTCGGGAGGCTGAGGCAGGAGAATCGCTTGAACCTGGGAGGCAGAGGTTGCAGTGAGCCAAGATTGTGCCACTGCACTCCAGCCTGGGTGACAGAGCAAGACTCCATCTCAAAATACAAGCAAGCAAGCAAGCAAACGAAAACCACCAAAATGAAAACGTGACCCCAGAGTCTCACTTCCCTGCTTTGAGGTATGATCACATCTGGGCTCTCTGTTGTGCCTGAGCAACTGTCCCCTGTTCACCCTGCTTTTACCTGGGCAGGCTGAGAATCCCTACAGGATCTGATGGCAGAGATTGCTGGCAGGAACTTATGAAGTCTGTTGGCCTTGTTTTATTTCAATCTTCCTAAGGGGAGGCAGATGGTGCATGCCCTTCTTGTACCTTCCCAGGATATAAGATCTCCCCTCGGGGACACTCCCAAACTGTGATATCACGTGTGCTTACAGCCACTGTTCTCCACCACCAACCCTCTAATTCTAGAACTTCGCACCAATACTCTCTGGGTGAAGCCAGGTCCCAGGGTCAGGTGACCCTCACAGCTGGAAGTAGAGGCTGACAACAGGCTTAGGGTGAAGCCTTCCCGGATACCAGTTTCTGACCTCTCTTTTTTTCGCATGTAGATGCTTTCCAGCAAGGATCCAGCTGTGACTCAGGGCACGGCTCAAGGACGGTGATGGCGCAGGGTGTAGGCAAGGAGGGCTATGCAGTTGCGGTGGGAACTTCATTTGGGAGTGCTTGTATTTTACTTTCAAAGCCCAACCTTTTTCTTTTGAATCTGGTGACGAGAATGTACATTTTAATGGGTCTGTTATAGATGCCTCGTTAAGCGCCTCTGCTCGTATTTTGGCTCCCACAGGATTATCAGTGCTCTGCTGATCCACACTGGAGCCTGAGGCACAAGGAGGAGTCAGTAATATTGATCCTGTCTTGATTTAAAGTTTTGGTATCTTGTTTATCATGGTTTTTTACATCATGTTGATGTTTCTAAATATTGAATTAAAATATTATTTATCTTGGTCATTCAGTTTTTGGCCTCATTCCCCTTGCCCCACCCCAAACCCTGAGGATTCACATAGAGCTGTACTGGCCTGAGATCATGTGAGCATGAGAGTTACTTGATTTGAGGCCAGGGGCTCTACATGCAGTGTTATCTGCAAATGTCTGGTGCCATGCCAGCGGTGGGTAAGAAGATTTTTGTCTCCTCCTGGCCCAGGCATGACAAACTCAGAGAGTTTGGCACCTACATGGACAACCCACGGCTGTTCAAAGTGCTGCTTCTGTGAACAAAGCCAGGGGCCTGTGCCCAGATTCTTGTGGCGTCACCAGCTCTTTCATCTCTCTGTTTGAGGGTCATTTCCTTATTTCCCTTCATTTCTTGCAGATAGGGCCTGAATTACTGCTCTGAATAGAGAAGCTAAGATGTAAAGTGTGCCAGAGAAGGTGAGAGGATGAGAAAGGGTTGACTGCCTAGATAGAGGACAGTGGGGCAGGTGCAGGTGGAATCTCCTGACTAAGGAGGCTGAAGAGGGTGGCAGTACAGGGGATGAGCCGTGGTCACAGTGCGAGAATGTCACACAGCCACAGCAGCATCAGGGTCAGCCTTCCAGAGGCTGGCTTAGGACAGGAGACGGGTGAGGTGAGGAGCCAGCATGGGAGGGCAGTGAACACACAAACCCTGTGCAGGGGACTGTGACAGCCTGCGGCATGCCTCTGAGTTCAGCACCAGGCATGTGGACAGCTCAGGACCGGTTGGAAGGGGCTGCCAGAAAAGTCAGGTGGTGGTGTGTCAGTGGGGTGTGCAGGCACTGATGGTGGCTCCTCAACCCCCTTCTTGCAAATTATTCAGTGGATGACTGTAGAGATATGGAATCAAGGAAAAGATCAGTTGCATAGCCATTCAGCCAGCCCTTCTTCCTGCCACCCAGGGCAGGGGGTGCCTCTGGCAAGGACTACTGGATAGAGGCTCCTACAAGGGAAGGAACTGCCACTGGGTATGGCCCTTCTGGCTTGCCTCACTTGATGTTGTTGGATTCTACCCTGGGTGGGTATAAATTCCATTTATGCTGGAGTTTTTAACAGACGGATGCAGATATGGCTGCTTCATCAGGGTATCCATTATGTAGCTCTAATTTTTGATTTGGGAGTGAAGTGAGCCAGTATCCCATGCTTAGAGCTGTCAAGGGAACCCCTTCTCAGACATATGTTAAATAATGCCCCATGGAGGTGTCCTTTCTGTATTCCAAGGAGGAGGCTGGTCTATTCTGCTGAATTTGTCAGGAGAATTTCAGAATTTCAGACATGCAACAGGAATCACCCAATGTGGGGATAGAACTATCTCTGCAAGGAACCAGGGGTACTGTGATGGCTGCCAGTGGGGTGCAGGGGTGAGGGCACATAGTTTAGCCTCAGAGATCTAGAGAGTGGAAAGCAGGATGTGTGCCCAGCTCACCGACTTTCTGTACCTGTTCCGTGGGCTGAGCTGGTGGGCAGGTCCATGCTCCAAAGAAAGGGAAGAGAAGGGCTGTGGACGCAGCAGGTGATCCTCCTGGGATACTCGGGAGGGGAGCAAGACAAATGCTTGAATGCTGCTCTTAGATTGTTGAGTGGGAACGTGGTCTTCCACGATGCTCTCTGCCCTAATGGCTTCACAGCAGTGACAGGGGAGTTGACGCTGCCCTCAGTACCTAAGTGAGAGAAGAAAACAGGCCAGACCATGGCTCTGTCTTTCTCCCCTCCCCTCACTGCAGAGAATTGAGACTGAATGTGTGTGAGGCACTGTTGGAGCCAGGCAGGGTGGGTGGTAGCCAGTTTCTGGCCACCTCCTCGCCCCGAAGTCTTCATTGGCCCCTTCCTTCCGGGAAGGGGCTGCCTATGGTCCCCTGGGACTCAGCAGATGGGTCTCTGGGAGGAAAACCATTATGCAAGAGGCCCAACCGTCCCACCGAGACACTATAACCTTTGCAATTTTATGGATTTTTAAAGAATAGTTGTCAGTCCATCCTAATTCTCCAGATTTTCTGGCTGTCAGAACACATTTTAAAGAAAATGAAACACTGTCGTGTCTCCTGCTCTGGTCCAGGGCCGGGTGAATGGCCCCTGTGGTGTCAGAATGCCCGGAACCCCCCAGCTCAGGGTTCCCACATATGGCCTGTGTGCAGCCCTCTGACCACGGCTCTCCACACACCCCAGCCCCAGGAGTTCAGAGATGTTTCTGACTGTCCCCATTTATTCATTCATCCACCTGTCCATCCACCCATCCTTAAATGACATGCACTAAGCAGCTCTCTGGAGGAGAGACGATGAGCTTACAACCGTGAATGAACGAGCTCATTTCAGATTGAGATGAGGACTGTGAGGGAAACAAACAGGCACAGGGTGGAGACTGAGAGGAGGTGGGAAGAGGCAGGGTGTTGGCCACCCAAGAAAGCTCCCGGCTCTACCTCTGGAGTGCCTCCCACCCCAAATGTCCGCAGGTCACTGATCCATCCACCCTCCCCATCCCTACCTGGCTCTCAAGCCTTAGCAGAGCTCCCTGTTTCTTGAGCTCTCCCCGAGCACTCCCTGCCACCCTGGAGTGATGTACAAACCTTGGGATGCCAGGCTGGTGCCCCTCAGGGCCAGGACACCCTCCTGCTGGGGCCAGGCTTCAGCCAGGATTCTGTCCTTTGACCGGCCCTGGGCCATTGGTGCAGAAGGGATGTTGTGGGGGTTGAGGGAGGGAGCTGTTCAGCTCTCAGGGCCTGGCCTGGGGAGAAGCATGGAAAAGGAATGAAAGAGGCAGAGAGAGACAGAGAGAGAGTGAATGAGTGAGCGAGGAGAAATGGGTGTCCCTGAGCTGGGGCCTGGAATGGAGCGGGAGACACAACCTCTGGGGGTAAATGTGGAAGTTGGCACAAAGCCTGTTGGGCTTCATGGAAAATATCCAACCCTGACATCTTTGGAGGCTGAGTCTACCACTTCCCCTTAGAGGTTAGACATGGGGGGTTTGTTACTGGCTCTGTTTCTGGGTTCTTTTCATTTTTTATTTTTTTTGAGACGGAGTCTTGCTCTGTCACCCAGGCTGGAGTGCAGTGGTGCAATCTCGGCTTACCACAACCTTTGCCTCACGGGTTCAGGCAATTCTCCTGCCTCAGCCTCCCAGGTAGCTGGGATTACAGGTGGCTGCCACCATACCTGGCTAATTTTTGTATTTTTAGTACAGTGAGGTTTCACCATGCCTGCCTCGGCCTCCCGACGTGCTGGGATTACAGGCGTGAGCCACCACGCCCAGCCCTGTTTCTGGGCTCTGAGTGTATTTGTCACAGCTGCAGCCTAAGAGTCCAGATTCCGCTGCAGGTTTCAAGACTGCTAACTGCATTTGCTTGTTTTGGTTCCTGAGTTTGTAAACACCCAACTCAGGGCACTCTGTTTTAGCAAGACCAGCATGCAGATGAGTCTGGAAAAGGGGCTGGTCTTCGTCGCACGTCACGGTGAGAACTGTGTGTGTGTGTGTATATATATATACTTTTTTTTTCTTTTTTTGAGACGGAGCCTCACTCTGTCACCCAGGCTGGAGTGCAGTGGTGCAATCTTGGCTCACCGCAACCTCCGCCTCCCAGGTTCAAGTGATCCTTCTGCCTCAGCCTCCTGAGTAGGTGAGACTACAGGCATGCGCCACCACACCCAACTAATTTTTGTATTTTTAGTAGACACAGGGTTTCACCCTGTTGTCCAGGCTGGTCATGAACTCCTGACCTCAAGTGACCCGCCTGCCTCGGCCTCCCAAAGTGCTGGGATTACAGGCGTGAGCCACCGCGCCTGGCCAGAACTATGTCTATTTTCAAAAGAGCTTGCATGATTAATCCTGACTTAACTAAAAAGAAATATAAAACAGAACAAAGCAAAAACACACTTTTGAGGAGACGGCTTTTATATGGCACTAAGAAAGCAAGTTAAATGGATGGACAAGGAGACAGTTCTCTCGGGTTAATTTGGCAGTATACAACGTATTTGCATTTATGAATTATTCTCCTCCCCATAGTTTTCATGGTTTTCCTACTGAAGGCAGAACTATTGAAATATTAATTACAGCCTAAGACATGCTCGCAGTGGCAGAATGAAGTTGGCATTGGAGAAACGGAGCAGACGTTCTTGAGGGAGATTGCCGGCCCAGCAGTGAGAGTGGGTAATGGGGTCATTCTGTCTCAACAAAGGGACCTTTTCACCCTCAAGAGGAGAGGGCACTGGGTTATTTGTGGGTTGCACAAAAAAAGGGACCTGGTTGGTTTGTGTTTGGAACAAGTGAAGTGTGTTTTAAAAATCAATGAAAAATTGAGAAGTGTTTAATTTTCTTTGCATCATTGAGCTGCCCTTTGGGGCCCAGCTGTCATTGTGTGGTGGGGGCAGAAGGTCTGGGGGGCTGCCGCCCAGTGATCGCCAAGGTAAGCGTGGGTGGTGCTGGGCACAGGGCCACCCCCAGCACCCACTCTCCATCTACCACATCAGGGTGCTGATCTTGCTGCAGGAGGAGAGCAGAGAATCCACCTCTGAAGTGCTTTGAGTTCTTTCGAAAAGAAAAATAATGTAAATCAGGCAGTGCTGGTTTTGTCATGGCCTAGCCCAGATGCTTTCGTGTCAGCCGGCACTGCTGATTTCAAACAGCTCAGAAATCAGTGTCCCAAGTCACCCAGCTCTTACGGATTCATTCTCATATTAAAGAGCCTGTTTTTTTTTTTTCTTTGGTAGGTCAGTTTTTTCCCTTTAAAAATCAAAGCTACATGCACCTAAGAGAACTTCTCGCTTATTGACCAGTCGATGCAGATAAATTGCAAATGGTAAGGTGCTTGGCAGAAGGAGAGGCAGAGCTGTCAGCTTCATCAATGGGAGCTCACAGTTTTCAAGCAGCACCCATTACACATCCCTGCAGTCTCTCTATTCTCTGCTCTTTGAATAATTTATCTGCAGGAAATCCAAATTGCCAAGGCACGCTTTAACCTACCAGAATGCTTGCCAATATCCTTGGGAAAACTGGCAAAAAAAAAAAAAAAAAGCCGTGGATTGCATTTCAGCTGAGTGCAGGCACCGCGCAATCAGACACATCAGCTCCATTGTGCGTCCTGCATCGGAGGCATCGCGCACGGGCTCCGCGCAGACGACATTTGAAGGCTCATAAATGTAATGAAGTCCCTGTGACACCTGCTCCTCTCTTCACTTTCAACATGAGCCATTGGTCCATGGGGAGCCTCTGCTTTAAAAATAGAAATTGTAGTAATTGTCTTCTGTTCTATTGGAAGGCGGAAATAAACGCACGGCCCCCAGCACTGTGCTCCACAGCCCGGAGTCCACAGGTTGCATAAATTACCCAGGTTTTGATTTTTCTTCCTTAACAAATCACATACGTCATTGTATGTTAGTGCTGCTGCATGGGGGAGGTTCAATTTGCAAATTTCGTCTTACTAATTGGGGGAATTCCTTTTTCTTCCTTCCCAGGTGGTTCTGTAGACATTGGTCTCTTGCTGGTTTTCAGGAACTAAAGCCCCATTTAAGACGTGGGGGCTTCTGAGCCCCCCTCCTGCTGCCTCCCTTCCTTTCTTCTGCTATTTCTTTCCACTCCCCTGCTTTTCCTTTGACTGCCTCACGCATAGAGCCCTGGCAGCTCTGGTATCTGTGACCTGGGACAGGAGGTGTGGATTTGCTGCCTCCCCTTCCTGACCGCAGGTGGTGGTGGTGGAGCCCAGCACTCTCCTCTTGGGCCTCCTGGGATGGAACATCCCCTGTCCAGCTAGAGGTGCCCTCCCTGGCCTGGCGCGGCTCCCTGGGAAGGACGTTTTGCATAGCATGGAGTGGGTGGGACTTACCTGCCTGCCCAGATTTGTCATGGGTGACACAGGACGAGGATTCTGTGTGTGACCCTCGCCCCCCTCGTTCCCCCGGCATGTCCTTTCTGTGATTGTCACCCTCCTGGGCGCTCCCCCATGACTCCCGCGCAGGCCAATGCTGTGGGCAGCGTCCCCACGGAGGCTGGTCAGATTCAGGGATCACAGGTGGGGAGGGACACCGATGGGCTCAGGCAAGGCAGCCAGGCCCTTGAGGCCCAGAGAACATATGGGCTGGGGCCGCTCCAGGTTGCCTGTTTCTCACGGAATGACCCTGGTGCGTGAGGGGCGTTAAAGCCTCTGCTGTCGTGGGAAGAAAAGCCCCATGGGAAGCTGTGCTCTAGGGACACGTTGGGGTCAGAAGCCATTGGATGACCCGGCACTGCCGCTGGTGGCCGTGTCTGTGGTGAGCGACCTGCCCTGATGCCTTGGCACCTGCCTGGCCAGGTGAGCAGTGGGTGCTGCTCTGTGTCGGGCCAGGAGACCCTCATGGATAAAACACGGACACTCATCAGGCTTCAGTGGAGCAGGGCCCACGTCTCAGCACTTGGTGGCAGGTGCAAATCCGGGGGCAGTGGGAGGGCACGGTGCACTGTACCCTCCTTGCCAAGGGCGGCGACATACTGATGGGACACTTCCGAGTCTCGTAGAAGGTCCTTTCTCCACACCCTCCCACCTGCTGCTCCTGGCCCCAGGCCTTTCCTGTCTTGTGAGCCCATCCTTGTTGTTCTGTGCCCAAAATCACCTTTGCTGTCAAAGCTTGAGCCAGAAAATGGACAGACCATTCCTGATGGTTCTATACTCCAGAGGCACTGGCTGGGTTTTCTTGTTAACCTCATGGCTTTTTGCTTGCAGATGAGCTTAGAAAATGAAGACAAGCGAGCTCGCACCCGATCCAAGGCCCTGCGAGGTGAGTGCTGCCCTTACCTCCTCCAGGGCCGTAAATGCCACTTTCCTCCGGGGTCTTCCTCGGGAGCACAAACCCGTAACCACACGTGTGCAGAGACGCCTGGGGACCTCAGGCCTCTTCAGCCTCGTTCATCCTCAGGGCTGCTGCGCTTTGAAGCTGGCATCTCAGAGGGCTGCTGAGGGGCCTTTGGCCCGGATGAACCTGCCTTGAGGGCAGAAATGTAGAGGCAGACTCAGCTCCATGGCGTGGGAGTAGCAAGGCTCAGTTATGAGACCATTGTTTGGAAATGAGAGGCCACCAGCCTTCCACCAGCAGCCCCTTCCTTCCCAGGAGATCAGTCTTGGTGCTGATGAGGAATAGGAGGTTGTTGGGTTGAACTGGAAGTGCAGTGGGAGGAGAGGGGGCCAAGGCCTTGCTCACTCTGCTAGGATCTGAGCCCCAGCCCCTGGCCAGACTTACCTCCCTGATCCGTGCGGGAGCTTCCTCTTGTGCCCAAGCATCTCAGGTGTTCCTGCCTTGGTCAGAGCCCCGTGCACCTTTGCAGCCACCACTGAAGGACCAGCCACTTGGTCCAGTTGTTCTCTTCTCTGTCCAGCTTGATCTGGTGGTTTGTGTTTCTTGCCAAAAACTGACTTCTATCTGCAATTAGAGAAAGAGGTACCATCCCTGGCCCTGAGGTCCCGAGAGCCTGTGTGAGGTGGAGCGTCTGTCCCACTCTGCAGAACTGCTCAGGGGAGCTTCTGGGGCGAGCACCGGGCTGGAGGGAGCAGCTCACTCTGTTGACCTCGGAGGACTCTCTGGGAGGTCAGGAAAGGGTGAGGGCCCTGGGAAAATTGCTCAGGTCTCACTGAGATTGCCTCCACTTGTCCTTGGCAAACCTCTCGGCTGTTTAACTTAGTTTATGCTGTTAGGGCAATGAGTCTTTAAAATCACAATTCTCACATGTTTTCCCTGTTTCTCTCTTTTTCCCAGGACCCCCCGAGACCACAGCTGCAGACCTCAGGTAAGGAAGTCTTCCTGTTAGCACCAAGCATCGTCTATGTGCCTGTGACCCTGGAGATGTCCCAAATGTCCCAAACGGGGTCTTCTTGGGTTGACCAAACACCCTGGTGAGCCCCTGCTTTCCCTAAGGAGACTGCCTTTCTCCTGGCCACGTGTCCAGCTGTCTTGGCCCCATCTCTGTCCGTTCTCACCTCTGTCCTGCCCCCATCATGTGGTGTCCCAGCATCATGGCGAGGACACGGATGTGCTCACACCTGGTCACCGAGAGGACCTGGACTGTCACTGGGTCCCCCAAACCAAAAACGAGCCGCTCTCTTAGCGGACTCTCACAAGAGCTTCTGTGTCAGATGGTTGGAGGCCCAGCTTGGGAATGAGATGAGAGAAGGGGATCTTCTACATCCGGAGTCTTCCATTGGCTCGGGATGCAAACAGCAGTTCTGTGTGCTGATGACCTGGCTGGCTGAGCTCTGTGACCATTTTCTTCCTGCTTCTTAGGGATACAGATTCCCAGGGCAGGGAGCATCTTATTGTCCAGCAAACCATTGAAGAGTGGATGCCAATCAGGAAAACGAGAGGACTGCAGAGTTCACTTTGTAAACCTTTTGCAGAGGTGGGACGGGAAGACAGTGTCCCTCCTCTGCTTGAGGCCCCATAACTTGGAGATGAACGGGGCAGGGCTACGGGAGGGAGTTGGGGTGCTGCAAGCCCCAGGCTCTGCGCCAGTCACACATCACAGTCTTGATCTCTGGGAAGGTCATGGAAGCACTGCCTTGTGATGTTATTATCCTGTTTGTGAAGTGCGGAAACTGAGACTCAGGGGTTAACCCTCCTCTAAGGCGCTGAATCACGTGCGCTACCTGCTGGAAGCCCCGCCCTGGGTAACAGGTGGGAGGGGTGGGGTGGAACCTCAGCCAAACCAGATCGTGTGCCAGCACTTCCGGTCAGGTGTCCTTAGCAACCCACCGGGTGCTCCCCAGAACACAGTCCCCCGAAGCACAGGGGCCGGCTCCCCGGCAGGGAGACACTGTCTGCTTGGCCAGCCTGCTGAGGAAGCAGTGATTGCAATGGCGAGACGCTCAGAGGGGCCCCGAGAAAAGGGAAGAGGAGGTGCCACGTGGCAGTCGCCCGGGGACACGGTGGAGACAAAGATGGAGGATAGTCCCAGGCGAGGACACAGGAGTAGAGGAAACTCCAGGCTTTTTGGTAACAGATGGAGTGTGGAGGAAGTTGAAAAGGCAAATACAAATGGCTGGGTGCTCTCTTGTAGATTTGAAACAGCGGAAGAAGAAATGACTCTCGAATAGATTTGTTTGTTTTGAAACGTTCTGAGAGGACCTGTCCAGCCTAAGTGAGGGGTTCTGTTAGCATTTGGATTTTGACACCCTCGTCACTAGCCTTGAGCTCTAACCTACATGCTTGGTAAGAGTAAGACCCTTGATCTTTTTCTTTTTTTTTTTGAGACGGAGTCTCGCTCTGTCACCCAGGCTGGAGTGCAGTGGCTGGATCTCAGCTCACTGCAAGCTCCGCCTCCCGGGTTCACGCCATTCTCCTGCCTCAGCCTCCCGAGTAGCTGGGACTACAGGCGCCCGCCACCTCGCCCAGCTAGTTTTTTGTATTTCTTAATAGAGATGGGGTTTCACCGTGTTAGCCAGGATGGTCTCGATCTCCTGACCTCGTGATCCGCCCGTCTCGGCCTCCCAAAGTGCTGGGATTACAGGCTTGAGCCACCGCGCCCGGCCGACCCTTGATCTTTTTAATGGACAGACTCGGGGAAAACATGTTGACGTCTCGTGTTCCAACAGCAATTTCTTCACCAATTCTTCATTGCTGACAAGTGATGCTTAGAGTAAAATCGAACAAAGATTATGTTCCAAGGAATCAAATACACTCTGCACAGAAGGTACCATGCATTCCTGGGTTCTCAAACATCTGTTGGCCACACGCCCCACGTGGGCATGCCTGTGGCTCGTGCTGGCTGACTGTGTGCCCCAGCCATAGTGCGAGCGTTTACACCACAGAAATGGGCTGATGATGTCTCCCCCTCCCAAAGACCTGTTTACCAGCACACCCTGGGCTCTGACTGGACGAGCAGATGAGACCTCTGTTCTGGTGGGGCCCACACTGTGGGTACCAGAACAGGAAGCATGACCCACAGAGAACACGCACCGTTGTGGGCTGTGAGAGGAGCACCACGTCCTGTGTGCAGACCATGGCACTGGATGAACTCACGGACACAGAGTCACCTGTGGGGAACCTCTGCGTGCAGGACTTTCTCTGTGAATGAGGGACTTAGCACCCCATTGACTCAGAACTTCACAGCCTGCAGTGCCCCTAACCCCAGCTCGTCTCCCCACCAGCTCAGGCAGAGCTCCCGGGAAGATACTCCATTGGTTGTTTACCAGGTGAACTGAGGAGAGGTTGGACTTGGCTCAAGTTGGACCCTGAGCTGCTGTTTCCGAACTTGGAGCCCACTGGGAGTTTCCGTGTGCCCTGAATTTAACACTCTGAGTGCCTAAGCGAAGAAGCAGTTTGATGACTTTTCCTCTCACCCCAGTGGAAGAACAGATGACATTTCAGCTTGTATTTTTGCCTGGGTCCATCTGTTGTCACATGGCCTCAGACTGGCTCTGCTGGAGGCGAAGACTAGGGAAGGTTAGGGTTGGGGTTAGCATCTTTGAGACAGCAAGTCGCCAACAACCCAGAGTTCAGGACCATCTCCACGTTCAGAGAGAGAACACATCTGTAGCTCACCCTTCCTCTTCTGGAGCCTTGCTCCTTGAGCCACTGGCCAACTCCCACCCAGATGACAGGAGGGAGTGGGGGATCTTCTACCTGCCCCAGGAGAGGGAGGGAAGGCAGGGAAGGCTGTGTCTTCAAAGGCTGTACCTGAAGCACGGGGCTCCAGGCTGGGATTCGGCTCCTCTCCCGACTTGTCTTCTTTGAGGCCTACTTTTCAAGTTTCGGTCCCTCAGAGCTCTCATGCAGGATGCCAGCCGAGGGGTGACTGTGAGCCACACCCTCTTCCCAGCCTCACGTGCGTCCTTTCGTCGCATCTCTGACACCAGCCCTAGTCAGAGCTGAGGAGTCAAGGCTGGGGAATTCCCTCCTCCCAGAGAAAAGAGGCTCAGGAGTCCTGGAGCCCTGGCCGTCTTCCTCTCCCTACAGCTCTGGCCCTGAGCACCCAGAGGGCATCAGTAAATAAGAGCTGGGTGTGCTTGCAGGTGAACTGCAGGGCTGGCATCTGCTGGCATGGCACCCTTGGAGGCCCTGGCTGGGTCTCTTGTCCCCTCGGCTGTGGGGTGGGGAACAGGCATCTAAGGGGTTTCCAGCTTCCTGCCCCGGAGTGGCCTTGTCGGCTCCACGCACTTGGCTCACAGCCCTGTCTCACAGCCTCTGAGCTGGGGCGGGAAGGTGCGGGCCCACCTTTCTGGGGACCGGGACTCTTCGGAGCTGAGGGTGATGTGTTCGGGGCAGTTCGGTCCCCACAGCGGCTGTCACCTAATTACCTGATTAACTCAGTGATTTCATCGACTGACTGGGACCTTAGCTTCGAGTCCCCAGTAACAAGGAGCTTTTTGTGAAAAGTCTCGAAGCTAGTTCTCCGAAGAGTGAAAGCAAGTGTGGGTCTGGATTTTAGAAGAGACTAGGGGCAGGGAGAGGTGGGTGGCAGCAGCAGCAACTCCCTCAGTTTGGAAAGGGAACCCGCAGTAAGTGTGGCGTGCCCTCCCTCTCTCCCCCTTCCTCCCTCTTCCCCTCCTTTCCCGCCTGGGTTCCTTCTTCCCTCCTCCCTCCTTCCTTCCCTCCCTTTCTGTCTTCTTTTTAACACACTGAAAGCACCACCCTGGAAGGCTGCAGAGAACGTCCCATGAGCACTCCCCCACCTCACGGCTGCTGTTGAGTTGGGTGATAGGGTGAGGTCTGGATTCTACTGACAGTTCTCCCTGAGGTGGTCGGGGAGGGTAGCCTGCAAGGCCATTGGGCCCCACAGTTGTCTGCAGTCAGGCCTGTGGTCAGTCGAATTAGAAATGATCAGAGGTGTCTGGATAGAGGCTGGGGATGGTGTTCTTTTCTCTGGGTCCCAGGTGTGGGGGTGTCAGCCCTTTCCTTCCTCCCTTCACAGGCTCTGGAAGATGTGCTTGGGTTTTGGAAAGAGCTCAGACTCACAATGTCAATCCTGTTAAAAACAAGGTCTTCCGATGCAAAAATCCTCAATGAAATCCTGGCAAACCGGATTCAGCAGCACATCAAAAAGCTTATCCACCATGATCAAGTGGGCTTCATCTCTGGGATGCAAGGCTGGTTCAATATACACAAATCAATAAACGTAATCCGGCACATAAACAGAACCAAAGACAAAA